GGGGACCCTGGCAGTGTGTTTCTCCCCTACAGGGTGAGCTCTGCAGGGACTTCGTGGAGGCTCTGAAGGCCGTGGTGGGAGGCTCCCACGTGTCCACTGCCACTGCGGTCCGAGAGATGCACGGGCGGGATGAGTCGGTGCACAGGTGTGGGGGAGCACACACGCGGGCCCCCTCCCCTGTCGTCCGGATTCAACCGCAGCTGGGAGCGAGGGCCCTGGGTTGCCTTCCTCCTCAGTCACCTGTTTTGGGGTGCTCTGGCGTGTTCTCTGCCCCTTGCTCACTGTAGCCTCGGGACCAGAGGGCGCCACGCCCCCCTAAATGGCTGAGGGTCTGGTTCTAGGTGCCAACCTCCGGATGCTGTAGTGTGGCCCCAGAACGTGGAGCAGGTCAGCCGAGTGGCAGCCCTGTGCTACGGCCAAGGTGTGCCCATCATCCCATTCGGCACCGGCACCGGGCTGGAGGGTGGCGTCTGCGCTGTGCAGGTACAGTGGGTGGGGCTCCCCTGCCCGCCCCGGGGCTGGTCCCATCACACCTTGGCACACCTGTGGCTGCCTCCCCCACCACACGTGGCTCCTTGGGTCCGCTCCCGCCCTCGGGCTGCCTGCCTCTGGGGTTCTGGTCTGGCTGCTGGGGGTCACCCGCGGGGTGTGGCCCGGGGGCCGTGGCCAGGTCAGAGACCCAGGTCCGCAGTCGTCTTAGCACCCGTCCCCACTAGGGCGGCGTCTGCGTTAACCTGACGCAGATGGACCAGATCCTGGAGCTGAACCTGGAGGACTTCTCTGTGGTGGTGGAGCCCGGCGTCACCCGCAAAGCCCTTAACACCCACCTGCGGGACAGCGGCCTCTGGTTTCCCGTGGGTAGGACTCGCGGACCTTGGGGCCCTGAGGATACCTTGGAAGCAGGGCTGCGTCTGGGGTTCAGGGGACCTTCCTCCTCCAGCCCGAGGGAAAGGGCCTCCAGTCCCTGAGGCTGCCTTCTCCTGCACGCCGCTCTCCAGACCCAGGCGCCGACGCCTCTCTCTGCGGCATGGCGGCCACCGCGGCTTCGGGCACCAACGCGGTCCGCTACGGCACCATGCGGGAAAACGTGCTCAACCTGGAGGTGGTGCTGCCGGACGGGCGGCTGCTGCACACGGCGGGCCCAGGCCGGCACTTCCGGTGAGCGCCCTCTGCCGGGGCCCTGGGCACTGCTGCGGGGCTGCCCTGCAGAGGCCGGGCTGTGAAAGGCGCCTCCTGCGGGCCACCTGGTTTGGCGGGCTGGGCTTCCACAGGCTCTGAAGCCCGGTCACCTGGGCCAAAGTGGGTGGGACATGGGTTTGCTCTCCCTGCGTGAGGCTGGTTTGTGGGGCAGAAAGCACTGGGCCAGGGAATCTGGGCCCGAGGGAGGCCAGCCCAGATCTCATTGCCTGGGGTCGGTGTCCTGGGTTCCAGCCTGGGCTCTGACCAGAAATCCCTCATCACTTGGCCTAGCACTCACCTTGTGTGTCCCTGGGACCTAGGAAGAGTGCAGCCGGCTACAATCTCACGGGGCTCTTCGTGGGCTCGGAGGGGACGCTGGGCCTCATCACAGCCACCACCCTGCGCCTGCACCCTGCCCCTGAGGCCACGGTGGCTGCCACGTGTGCGTTCCCCAGTGTCCAGGCTGCTGTGGACAGCACTGTACACATCCTCCAGGCGGCAGTGCCCGTGGCCCGCATTGGTGAGCTGAGGACTGGGGCAGTCAGGGTGGGCTCCATGGAAGAGGCCCCCTGGGAGGGCCAGGCCTCACCTGGCCTGCCCTCTCCCTGGATCCAGAGTTCCTGGATGAAGTCATGATGGATGCCTGCAACAGGTACAGCAAGCTGAATTGCTCAGTGGCGCCCACACTCTTCCTGGAGTTCCATGGCTCCCAGCAGGCACTGGAGGAGCAGCTGCAGTGCACAGGTATGCTGGGGTAGCGTGGGGCAGTGGGGTGGGCGGCCGCTACGGCCCTGTGTCAGCCCTCCTCCCCCAACTGCAGAGGAGATAGTCCAGCAGAACGGAGCCTCTGACTTCTCCTGGGCCAAGGAGGCCGAGGAGCGGAGCCAGCTTTGGGCAGCACGGCATAATGCCTGGTACGCAGCCCTGGCCCTGCGGCCAGGCTGCAAGGTAAGCTGGGGCTGGGCTGCAGCTGGGGCCCACAAACCTTTCCTCAACCCACCATCTTAGTGCACAGAGCAGCAGGCTGAGCCCCCACAAGGGGGCTGGGCCTGGCTGAGCAAGTGCTAGAACCGGGGGCTGCAGAACACCCCACCCAGATGTTCAGATACCATCTACAGGGAAAGAACAGTTGTCTGCTAAGCCCTCAGAAGCCCTTTCTGTGAGCCAGGTTGTGGGAATGGGAATGCTCTTGGGAGTTGTAAACAGGGATGGCTTCCTGGAGGAAGAGATGAAACAGAGGAGGATGTCAGCCTAACTTGGGGAAGGGAAGTCTGGGCTCCAAGCAGCTCAGTAGCCTGGGGGTCGGGGTAGGAGCCATGGGGGAGTGTGGACAGCCTCTGCAGGGAGGTGTGGCAAGCACACCTGGGTCAGTGGTCTCCTTCGTTGTGTTGCGGGGAGGTGAGGGCTGAGGCCTAGAGAAGAGCAGGACATTTCCTTGTGTGAGGCCGGGAGCTGAGGCCCAGTGCCCCGAGACCCATCCTCAGCCTTGACCACGGTGACCCTCTACCCCCAGGCAGACAGGGGTGACTCACAGGCCTCCCCTTTGACCAGGGCTACTCCACGGACGTGTGTGTGCCCATCTCCCGGCTGCCGGAGATCGTGGTGCAGACCAAGGAGGATCTGAATGCCTCGGGACTCAAAGGTTCTGTCCTCCCTGCTGCTGGGGAGAGGTGGGAAGGTGTTGGGGCTGACCAGAGCCTGGGCCAGCAGGAGGTAGAAGGGGGGCTGGGCTGGAGAATAGCTCTGTCCTCTGGGCCCCCAGGAAGCATTGTTGGACATGTGGGTGACGGCAACTTCCACTGCATCCTGCTGGTTAACCCTGATGACGCCGAGGAACTGGGCAGGGTCAAGGCTTTTGCAGAACAGCTGGGCAGGTAGGAGAAAAGCCAGGGATGAGGAGAGCTGAGGGCAGCCGAAAGGCGACCCACTGAGGATGTCTCCTCCCTGCCCTCAGGCGGGCACTGGCCCTCCATGGAACGTGCACGGGAGAGCATGGCATCGGGCTGGGCAAGCGACAGCTGCTACAGGAGGAGGTGGGCGCCGTGGGTATGGAGACTATGCGGCAGCTCAAGGCAGTGCTGGATCCCCGAGGCCTCATGAACCCGGGCAAAGTGCTGTGAGCAGCTCTGAGCACTTAGCCCATGGGTTCCCAGACTATGGAGCCTCTGTTCTGGGACTTTTCTTCATGCTACAGCCCCTGCTAGGGATAGACAGTAGCTGATGCTGTCATCCTGCCAGCGAGCCCAGAGAAGCCTGGGCACCGGGTTAATCCCCAGACTTCTGGCTGGCCCCAGGAGCCCTTGGCTCAGTAAATGACCCAGGGTGGTTCCCGGCAAAGCTGCTTCCTCTGTTTATACGCATCCTGTCCTGGATGGAAGAGATGGTCTGTGTCCACTCAAGACTGACGACCTCTCCCCAGAGGCCTCCCACTGCGGGGGACCCTTCCCCTTTCTTTTTTTTTTTTTGAGACGGAGTTTCGCTCTTGTTGCCCAGGCTGGAGTGCAATGGCGCGATCTCGGCTCACTGCAACCTCCGCCTCCTGGGTTCAGGCAATTCTCCTGCCTCAGCCTCCTGTCCTTCCCCTTTCATGTAGTGACAGAACACTCCTTTCCTGGTATGGGAAGCAACCTCCCATACCATGCTGATAGTTCTTCTTGTTGGCGCCTCCTCAAATAAATCTGAAATCAACCTGAAACCCGCCTGCAACTAAGGGTCTCTGTGTCCTTTGGCCAGTGACCTCTTTGTTTTGGATCTGTTCTCTGACGTCTTGTAGCCTGGGGAGGGGGTGGTATTCAGGCTTCGGAAGATGTGGCAAGCACACCTGAGCCAGTGATCTCCTGCAGGAACAGAACCCAGGTCCCTGTCCCGGTTATTCCACCTCAGACCTGAGGACCTGCCCATGGCAGATGTCACTTAGGATGGGGTCCCCAACTGGGCCTCTGAACACAGATTGTGTTCCTCAGCAGCTGCTACTGTCTTTAGAAACAGAGGTGAAACTTTTTGCACCCCCTCTCCTTGGGGTGATACATCATACTACCAGCTGTTTTGCCCTGAAGGTCTGTCCACCCTGGCTAGGGCCTGTCCCTGTCTTGGGCTAGAGCCCGTCTTGAGACCTTGGCAGTTGTTCCCCCTAAGCCCACTAGAGGGCACCTGACATCACAAAGCTCAGGTACCACCGGCATCTGCTCCAGACTCAGGAATCACTTCTGCTCAGGGCCTGCAGCTCTCAGCCCTGGGCAAACGTCCCAGGGTCAGGGAAGGCCTGGCAGCCTGGAAGCTGGGCTAAGTCCTCTACCCCACCGACAGGTCCCAGGAACCTGTAGTGCTGTCTCATCTTCCTTGCCCTTTCAGCCTTCAGTGTCCTTAGGAAACGGGCATGTCACACCCCATGGCCTCCCTGGCCTCCAACCTGCTCCTCCTACCATCAGCTGTTCAGTGCTCAGGCGGGCTGCTGGGCCTTGGGCAGAGGCAGCTGTGCTGAGACGCTTCAATCCAACTTCAGTTTTTGGAACCCCTCCTCCAAGCTAACACTGGGCTCCAGCAAACAGCAGTGACACCGACCTGAGCCTGGAGACTACTCCTCTGTGACGTTTCTGTCCCGCTCTGCCCTTGTGGGGAGTAGAGACTGTGCCAAGGGCTGATTGGTGACAAATCTCAGCCCTTTCCCCAAAACACCCCAGCACATGTGTGCTCATCACTGAGGCAGCCCTCTCGCCCCTCCCCTTCCAGCCAGCCAGCCAGCCACCCACTCTTGCAGGCGAAAATCCTGCAAGGGCCAGGCTCTCCCTCCAGTGCCTGGCAACTAGGAGGCGCTCAGCAAATGACCGTTTCCCCACAATCTTTTATTAAGAAAAATTCCAAACATACAGAAAAGTTGAAAGAACAAGTACACCGTTCACTGAAATACCAGCCACTGCAGATTCAACAATGAACATTTTGGCCTTATTTGCTTTGTGTATTTTGGGGGGAATCATTTGGAATTAAATTACATATTTTTTGAAGGCATTCACCTATATAATTCAGCATCTATCTCCTAAGAATGAGGACATTCTCCCATGAACCTCGGTACCGTTAGATGGCTATTAGAGAATGGTTGTTCTTAGTGAGGGGCTCACATCCAGGAACCTCATAAAGTGTGCTAGGCCCTTAGCAGAGTGGGTAGAATCTGCTCCCCAGTTCCCTCACATTCTCTCCCATCCCAGAAAGGCAGAAAAGCGGCAACATGGGATTCTGGAGAGCTGTCGGGATGGAGTATGGCAAACATGAGCTCCACTTGGGAAGCCCCGACAGCCTCAATCCCACCCCCACACCAAGAGTGGGCAACCTGGGTCCAAATTCAGGATACTGCAGCCGACAGGGGGCTGCAGCGTGCCAGGTAGGAATGAAGTCGCTGGGGGTGGGGGTGAGCACCAGCCCCTAGAGCTTGGAATAGCACCCGGCGTGGGCTAAAGCCCTGCCCCACCCGAATCACAGCTGCTTGGCTCACCCATGGCACTGCCAAAACAGCGGACTCAAGCTGCCAAGGTGGGCACACGAAGCCTCCGTTTCCAGGTCCAGGGGTCAGGCAAGGAGATCTCCTTCAGGGCTGGGCCCTGCCTCTCCAGCTTTGCTGGTGGAATTAAATATAGCACAGGGAGACACAGTTGCCAGGCAGAAGCAGGAGGTGCTGTGAATAGAACAGTGCCCTTTGTGGTGACAAAGCTATGGGGAGCCTGCTGTGACTGCCAGGACCTGCAGGGCAACTCCCCCGGCCCACAGTGGCCTCGGAGCTGCGTGGTTTTGTCCCTGCTTCACATGGGAAACATCTGAAGTTCAGAGGAAGCTGTTTCCCCACAATCACCCTGCCAGGCAGGAGAGCCTGAATGCAGTGTAGAGCCATGTTCCTGCCGCCAGCTCTCACAACAGCCCCAAGGTCTTCACCCCGGACAGGTCCGCGCTGAGGCCCAGGCTCCAAACCACCAAGTCTTCAGTGTTTCTCCGCTGGCCCTGCCTCATGTTTGCCCACTGGCCTGTTGTGAACGCCCTTGCAGAGTAGGTGCTTCTGGAAGCATCTGATGGAGGGTGACTGCAGAGCCAGGGGCTGTGGCAGCAGGGAGATGGTCCGGCACATCAAGAGGGCCTGAGAAGGGTCAGAGCAGAGAGGGTGTGTAGTCGTCTCCCTCCAGAGCTTTCCCTTGCTGGCTCTGCAGGAGGCTCTGGAATGCTGCTCCGGGAGCCCGCTGGGCACGGGGACACAGGCCAGGCCTGCACTGCTGCTCCCTGCCTGAAGCTGCCTGCCCAGCCCACAGTTTGCCAACTTCTGTGAGCCTGAGCGGCTGGTTCTGGTTCAGGGGCTCCAAGCTGGCGTAGCCCCAAACCAGGGCCTCTTCCTGGGCCTCAATGAAGCATGCCCGTGAGTCAGCACTGAGATGCAAACTGAGCAACAGGCAGGGCGAGTGGAACGTGGAATGGGGAGCAGAGGCTGGAAGGAGCGGGGCTGGGCCCACACCTGGAAGAACCCACATCCTTGCAGCTGCTGGTGGCTGCAACATCTTGGCTCCTGCAGAGCTCTCCAGAGTTCCAGCACAATGACTCCACAGAGGGCAGATTGGTTCCATGATGCTTAAGAGGTCAGGAAGCTTATAGGAGGTACACCTGACTTGCCACTCTCCCTCCACCCAGGCCTGACAGTCTGAGGACCAATTCACATACCTGGAGCCCCAAGTAGTAGCCTGAAGGAATGCTAAGGAGGTAGGTGAGGGAGTAGGGGCAGGCCCTTGCCCCCATTTCTTGATTGTATAACAACACTTCATTAAAATAAAATCACACAGTGCATCTTTTATTAGACATTTTAATACCATATCAAAACACCTTGGACTAATGAAGAAAGCTTTTCTCCCAAGCTTTGAACATTTTTTTAAACATTTTATGAATTTTTTTTTGTATTTTAATATATAAATACAGAAACCTATCTTGCATGGGCTGATGCCACGTGTGAACATCAATGGCTAAAATGTTCTCAAACATAGTGCCTGAAAACAGGGGTAGCTGTACATACTTCTTAGTAAGTCTTTTTTTTGTTTAAGTTTTCTGGAGAAAAAAATCCACAAGGGCCTAAGAATAATGTTCAGGCATTTTTGCAGGACACTTGTGATTGTTAAATCCTCTGAACTGACCGGAACCAGGAGGAAAGAAGGGAAAAGAGATGGGATCAGTGGGAAGAAAAGTTCTCGATGGGTTGTTTTTTGGCAATGAAGTCAAGATATTAGGTTCTTAAGGGGAGAAAAGAGCAAAACCAAGCCAGAAAAGTAGAGAGAAAAAAACTAAACCCAAAGTAGAGAAGTTGGTGGTGGAGAGGGCCAGCTGGGGCAGGGGAAGAGACTGTGTGCTCGCCCACCGTCCGAAGGCTGGCGGCGAGGGCTTGGCTGTGTTCGTCTGTCACTGAGAGGGTTATGGCTGGGCAGCAAACAGCAAGCTGTAAACATCACGAGGGAAAACACCAGTCGACACTAGACTTTTTTTTATATAATTTTTTTTTTTTGTAAACACTTTAAAGACAGACCCACAATGCCTTTCAAAGGTGAAAAAGAAAATGCCCTTTCCCTCCTGGGCTGAGGGGTGAGGGGAAGGATAGCAGTTGATTCATTCTTCTTTCAAACTTGTTCTCATCCAATTTGGTGTCCTCAGGGAGGAAGGGAGAACCATGATCTGGAAGTCAGTGCAGAAGGGGTGCCCTGTTCCCGCTGGTGTCCCAAGCTCAGCTCTGCCCCAGGGTTCGGTGAGCCTCCTCCTGGGAGCAGGGGCTGTCTGTCCCTGTGTGGACCGTAATAAGTAAGTCGTGCTCCGTCGGGCCGAGGGCTGGCAGCTGCATCCCAGGGCAGCTGCATCCCGAGAGGGCAGGCAGGGCTGGGGCGTCTGCACGGGACCCCCGAAGCCAAACAGCACGTGGGGAATTTGCAGCCATGCGCCTGGGCAGGTTCTACTCCCCTGCCTCTCTCCCCCTTGCTCTTTCTTCTCCCCTTGTCATCAGTTTTTGAGGTGAAGGTGAAAAGAGCAAATGTCCCTGATTTGTCTGACATCATCAGCTGTTCTGGGAGTTTACTTGGAATAAATAAAATAAACCTAACAAAAGAAAACAAAAACAAGAGAGAGAGAAACGGAGGGAGGAAGAAGAGCGGCCCCAAAACCTTTGGCTGTGAGATGAGTTGGGCTTTTGGTTTTTATGGGGGTTTTGTCTACTTTGTTTTTACCAGAAAAAGGAAAATGGCAGCCCAGAACTTTGAAGGGACAGGTGAGATGGGGTCAGGGAGGATGGTCGGCAGCAAGCAGTGTACCCCTAGGGGAGACCTGGGGAGGCCAGACTCAGCGGTGAGCTACGGATGTGTGGAGTCAGCACCCACTACTGTGGGATGGAGGGGTCGAGTCTGCCCTGGAGGCCTCAGATTCATCTGGAAGCCACGCGGGAAGAACCAGCGGTAAAGTGAACGCTGACAAGCACTTTGCAGGGAACAATGCGCCGCCTCCATGGCTGTCTGTTTAGTAAGTGCAATGTCCTCATGGCAGCAGGGAGCAAGATTATCCCCATCAGACTCAGAGGTGAGCGAGGATGAGGCCAAGCCAGACACACACCCAGCGCTCAGGCTCCTTTTCCTGCTTGTGCACATTCCCAAAAAGAAAGATCTTCCTGAACTTTCTTTAGGAACGTAAACTGCACTGGTCTTTTCCCCAAGGAATCCTAACTCTTCTGAGCCTGTTCTTCATAACTGCCCACGTTGGTTTGTATCTCTTGTCCTTCCCAGAGAAAATCATTTCCAGATAACCACCTGCTAACTGACAAGGTGCTCCTTCCCTCTGCTCCTGCTTTCTTCTTGGTGGCATAAGGGCAGCTCCATTCCGCCACCTATGGGCCCCTAAAGTGACCTGACCCCAAGCCTTAAGGCCGAAGCACCCCTACCCATGGGCTCACCTTTGAGAGGAGTCAGCAAGCAAGCCCGCAGGTCAGTCCGCAGGGTGTTCTGGACACGATCTGTTCACTTCAAACCATGAGTCTATGCAGCTGTGGGGAGAGGCCGCAAGAGAAACTGCGTTACCTGCTGCCCAGGCTGTTTTGAAGGGGATCTTTCAAAGGGACGGCTTCCTGAGCAGGAGCTTCCTAAGTCTTTTCTGAAAGGACCCCAGGGAAACACAGTCATGTCTCCAGATATCCCTACTTTCTGAAGCAGGAAGAAGAGAGAACACCAAGACTGGTCTTGGCCCAGCCGGAGACAGCAGTGGTGGGTACAGGCTCAGGGGGATCTGGTACAGTAGGAAGGGGCAGGGCGACCTTGAGAAGGACCAAAGCTTTCTGTGCACAAAGCCCAGGAGGATGGCAGCAGCCACCGTGGAGAAGGTGAGAGCGGTGGACCCCGCAGGTCAGCTAGTCAGCTGTCTCCAAGACTCCAAGGGCAAGGAAGTGGAAACAGTGGCATGGCAGGAAGGCCATGGCTATGGGTGCTAGGGTCCTGAAAGAGCCCCTTCCTGGGTCAAAAGAACAGCTGTGAGGCTCCCTCCCAGTGGGTGACCTCTTAGGAGAGCCCCCAGCTCTACCCCTCAGCCTAGATCAGCTGATCAGCAGCAGAATCTAGTCCTTCCTGCAAGAGGAGGGAGGGGAGCCAGACAGTGAAGCCCTGGTCTCCAGTGTTTACAGAAAAAGGCTCTCTGCATCAAAGAGGGAACAGAGTTTGCCCCAAGACAGCTTCCTGATTTGTAAACCAACATCTGGGCATTTTCAAAGACAGGAACCAGACAGATAATTTGCATAATTCTCCCCTAGGGCCAAAGATTTCCTTTTCTGGTTCTGGTTAATGTTCTCAGGGACGCTGCAAGGCTCTGCGCTAGCAACTAGACCAAGAATCTCTTCCAGGCCAGCCTTGAGCCTCCTCTGCACCAGCCACGCCGTGTGCCATGCCCAGTTGTCACCCTGTGCAGCAGTGGCCCTGAGAGGCAGGCTTTGAAAGACCTGTGTGTCAGGAAGAAGCTCTGGGGTTGAGGACTCAGACAGCAGGTTCTGGCCACAGGCAGCACAGTGTCCTCCTGTCATGGGCAAGAAGGTGTCTTCCTTCCAGCTGAAAACAAGGAGGGGGCTTACACTGGAGCCTGAGGACGAATCTGGGCCCTGCTACTTATAACTGCGCCCAGTACCCCTCAGGAAATGGCTCTTCCTGCCTCCTGGCCCTCTAGGGAGGAGGCCAGCGCAAGGCCGTGGCACACTCTCTGCCTGGCCTTCCTCGCACAGATTGACATTCTCCCCCTGTGAAGCAGACGAGCCCAGAGAGGAAGAAAAGGCAGGGAGATAGATGGAGAACCAACCTTCCCAGTGGGATCCTAAGCTCCTACAACCTGTGAGGCTCTACAGTTCTCGCTATCAGTTCCTAACCCCAAACCCTCAAACCAGAGCATACCTCCAGCAACTCAACTCTGCCCTGCGCTTGGGATGTTCGCACCTTCCTACCGGCACAGTGGGTATCTGTGTGCTGGACTCTGCCCTTACCCACTTGGAGCCAGAGGTGGGAGGAGAGGTCATCCCATAACCAAAGGAGACAGAATGGCTGGAGATGGGGGTCTGCCCCTCTGGGAGGGAGATGCACTGAGCCACCCTGCCGACCCCTCCCCTACCTTTTGTGATAGATGCACAAGCAGGGCAGCCTGGCTATCGTGTCCCCCTGCAGCAGCTCCTCCAGGCAGATCACACACTCACCCGCGTCTTTAGTCAGCACATCATCTGCAAGGGGGACAGAGGGAGGGAGCAAGAGGGTTAGTCACCAGTGGACAGGTGGCACGGGGCAGGCAAGGGCCTAGCAACTAGGGGACTGCTTAGCTGCCCCAAACTGTGCCCGGCTCTGTGGGGGACACAGAACCCCAAGAGGGACCTTGACCTTAAGACTCTCACTGTGGAGATAAGGCATGCACACCACATGTTAATTACCCAAAGACAAAATGGGATTAATCCCAACATGTGATTAACCAAAAGCTGAGGTAATGGCGGACGAAAAAGGCCTGGAGAAGGGTAGACGCGAAGCAGGGGCAGCATGAGGCAAGCTGTTTCCCTCCACAGACGCTTTCCTAAACACACACACAGCCAGGACGCGGATTTCTGGTCTGGAAAAATATGGTATTGGGGAGAGTGGTAGGAGGCAAGAAAGAGGGGGAGAAACAGGTCCCCAAGCAAATGCGTGTGCATGGAGGTTCACAGCAGCATTGTTCACAAGGGCCCAAAGGTGGAAACAACCCAGTGTCCACCAACTGCGCAAGAGATAAAAGATGTTGTTTTCCTACGATGGAATGCTACTCAGCCAAGAAAAGGAAGAACCACCACATGCTGCAACGTGGATAAATGTCAAAAATACTACACTTAGTAAAAGAAGCCAACTACTGTATGAACCTATTCATATGAAATGTCCAGAAGAGATAAATCCATAGAGGTAGAAAGAAGACGGGGATTGGGGGCAGGGGGAAATGGGGAATGACTGCTTAATGGGTACGACGTTTTCTCCCCACCACCTTTTTACCTTTTTTTTGGGGTGGGGGGGGAACAAGAGTCTCACTCTGTCGCTCAGGGTGGATTGCAATGGTGCGATCTCGGCTCACTGCAACCTCCAACTCCCAGGTTCAAGTGTTTCTCCTGCCTCAGCCTCCTGAATAGCTGGGATTACGGGCAACCGCCATCACGCCTGGCTAATTTTTTTGTATTTTTAGTAGAGACGGGGTTTCTCCATGTTGGCCAGGCTGGTCTTGAACTCCTGACCTCAGGTGATCCACCTGCCTCTGCCTCCCAAAGTACTGGGATTACAGGCATGAGTCACCATGCCTGGCCAAAAACTTTACTGTGGTAAGTCTAACATATGCTCTATCTTCTTAACAAATCTTCAAGTGTACAATACAGTATTGTCAACTGTAGTCACTATGTTGTATGGCAGATGTCTAAAACTTACCTTGCATAACTGAAATGTTATACCCATTAATCGACCACTCCCCTTCGCCCCACCTAGCTGCTGGCCACCACCAGTCTACTCTCTGCTTCCATGAGTTGGATTATTTTAGCTACCTCATATAAGTGGAATCACATTAGGAGTTTCTTTCTGGAGTGATGAAGTATTTAGAACCAGATAAAGGTGGGAATTGTGAATGTCCTAAATGCTACTAAATTGTACATTTAAAAATGGTTGATTTCATCTCAATTTTAATTTTTTTTTTTTTTTTTTTTTTTTTTTTTTTTTTTTTTTTT